AGGCCTTGCTTGGTGAGGCCAAGCTATTTTTTTTTTACTGATATCTGCTATCTGTTAGAGCTAATCCTTGCTTACATCTATAGCGTAAGCAAGGAATCTTTTTGGACTGGGCGATATATTTGGAATTTTGAGAAATGTGATATATACACTCAAAATCGCTCAAATATACTTGTGTATCCACAAAACTGCTTCCACAGCCAACATGACTAGTTACAAAACATCCATTTACCAGAAGCAAAAAATCCTCCAAGATGCTCTCTACAGTGCTGGCAGCATCCTGAATGCCATAATATTACCTGTCTTGCTTAATAGTGCTCACCTTCCTATCAATTAAAGTCATTTTCTCTCTCCTCTACAATCATTCATGAAGAAAAGCACAACCACCTGTTAATTAAACAAAAATATTTCAGAATGTCAAAGAGGAAATACAGAGTTTGACATCTAAGCACCTTTTCCCTGAATCCAAACTACAAGATGAAGATTGTTTTGTTCCAAAAACCATAACCATATACTGCAATTGTTTATATACGTAAGATCCATCAGAAGCTGATTTCAGCTGAAAAAATAAGACTTCAGGGGGAAGAAATGGCAGTTTAAAGACGGCTCTGTGAAAAGCAGGCCTGATGACACAGTGAAATCAGAGTCAGTAAGTAGACGAGCTGTTCAAATCCTCTGTGGAGAAGGAGAGGACAGGACAGGAGATTGGCCACATGTGCTCTGAACAGTTGCTCCTCATGAAGAAACTGCAAGACAGCAGTTTCCAGTGGGCTTTTAGAAGTGGGAGATGACAGGAATAACCATTTTGCTTGTAATCACAGTTAGTGCATTTTAAAAGTCCTAACTTTGAAAGCTTCCTTTAGTAGTCACAATGAAGTCACAAATGAGAAATTGTTTGTTAAAAGCAATTGCTTGTTAAAATGTGACATTTGGATTGACAAGTCTGAAAAAAACAGGTGATTCCGTCAATCCTTAATGAAAGAAAAAATTAATCATAAGATTAAGATTTTTATTTTAAAAAGTTGAAATAAACAGCAAAAAGCTAAATAAGACTTTGATCCCAGAAAGTAATAAACAGATTAAGGCTCCAGATAAATGTGGAATAAGATTTTGGAATTGATTATAAAGAATCATTCCCACTGGAAATAGATTTGTTTGGACTCTGCAGGATAAAATAAAAATACACAATTTTAAAAATTGGACATAAAAGGGAAATAAAGATTTTAATTAAAGGAGAAAATAAACAAGCCTTATGAACCACAAATTAACTGGGATGTATAAAATGGTGCAAAACATTTCAACAGTAAAAATACTGAAGCATACTTTTGAAAATTGGAATCAGACGTTAATATCACTGAAGTCAATAGTGATGTTTGCTTTTATGGATAGGCTGTGTCCTGAAAATATTATGGAAGAAATGGTGGAACACGTTTTATTTGACAAGTCAGAGATGCTATTGAAAATGAATCTACAAACCACAGATCACAGTATTGGATTTTACTAATAATTAAAATTCTTAATAAAAAGCATATATATGCTGAGAGGGAGAGAGAGAGCACACTAATTTCAACTGAGTCAAATATAAGAATCTAAAATTGTTGAAGAAGCAAAGTTGGAGTACCTACATCTCTCAATGAAACCACTTTTAGTAGGACTATGATAGTAGTACCAACTCAATTAAAAAGGGCCTTAGTATTATCCAAGCATTTTTGAAATGGCATCCCTTTCCTCAGTTTCAGGTTTAAAGATGAATCCTTTGTCATTCCCAATAGGCCACCTATAGAGTCCTAAAGGTGTATCGTACTGTCAAATTCAGGAGAAATGCACTTAGAAATTTAACAAAAGTTACTAAGAACAGACTAATTGCTTTTTTCTTCTTTGAAGGATTTACTTCCTACAAATGGCTGCCTTATGTAATTGCACAGCAAATAAGACTTATGATTATGTCAAAAACAGGACTTTAAAGTCCACATCCTTTGTCAAGAATCATCTAGGTATTCTAGGAGGATTCCCCTCACCCCCAATGAATAAAAAGTATATCTCTTTGGATATAGAAAGAGTTTGGCACATTCACCGTTGGCATTTTTTAAGAAGGCTTTGATAAGAAATGCAAAACCTCTTTCTTTTTGGCCCCATACCTCTTAGGAACTACACATGATATTCATAGAGAACACACAAAAAAAATATTAGGAGACCACTTATTAGGAAAGAGGAAAACCAAGATACACATTTGTTTCAAAGAGCAAGTAGCTAATACTTAAAAGAAAAAAGCCAAAGATATCTTAAGTATTTCATAAGTTAAAATGCTGCATTTTCATAGGTATTTTCTGTGGAAATTAAGAAACAGATTTCGGAGACCGTGTTAATATGAAGCCTGTTGATTAAAGAAAGTCATCCTTGTCTTCATAAACTGAAGTGGGAAGAAAGGGAAAAAAGTGTTTTCTTAAGGAGCTCAATCACCTTGCAAGTTAGATCTAAGAAGACGTAAGAGATTTTACTTTGGCCACTAAAGCCTTAGTTCAGCTATCATAATTAATGAAATGATTCTATTATCCAGGATCACTTCATACAAGTGATGAAAAATTGAAAGGAACAAAATCCCCAAACACATCAAATTGACTGAAATTAGAAGAAATCCCACAGGAAAATTCCAAGACAGGGGTGCCAAACTCCCGGCCCACAGCCCGGATGTGTCACACGCTGGCCACCCCCATGCCTGGTTTAGCAATGGGGAAAAATGTCCTCATATATCATGTGACACCATTGTGATGCTGCGGGTTTGACACCTCTGTTCCAAGGTATTTGGTCATCTGACATAGCAAATCCATATGGCTTTCTAACCTTCTTCACAAAAGTAAATGCAACAACAATAAATTAATATCCTGTATTTTGATGAAATTTAAACTCTACTTTCTCAGGCCATCTTTTCCCTTGCCTAGGCAGACTGGCATTACAACTCCTGCCTATCTTCTTAAGTCCATGTGAGCACAGCATAAATGGCCCAAAAGAATGTCATATGTTAGTCATTATCAAGAGGATGTAGGGAAAACTATATGCAATTAGCAACAGAATTATTGATTAATTGAATGTTTGCAACACACCATATACTGTTAAGGTGAAACTATAAAAGATTTAAATAAGAATAGTTTCTAATCTATGTTGTGAAACAACAAAATATAAATATTTTGGCACACGTTGAACTGAATAGAGACTGATGGGACAAAATTGATGCAATCAAAGAATCTGAAAATCGCATTGCACAACATTTTTTCTTCAGTTTATGTATCTCACGACCAATATGACAGGATAACGCTAGCTAGCTCCGCCTAATAATTAGTTATTTTATGATTGAGAGGAATGTTTTTACTTAGTGCAAAGTGTTAATATTGTTACTTTGCTAATCTTGTTTTCTATAGCCCATAGTAAAATTTCTGATAATTTAAGAAACTGACTTTTGCCCAGAAAAATCTGATTTCAAAATTGCTTCCAAATACTGTACATGGCAGCAGTATATCCAAAGCAGTGGATATATTGCAAAATAATAAATAGTAATCCAGACATACTGTAGTGTAAGAATTTAAGCAGTCAGAGATGATAGGTGAAAGCCATAGCAGGTTAAATTCAGTAGCAAATCTGGTCTCAAACCCATGTTGTGTGCCATCATAACCAACAGGAGAACTTAGCAGGATTTCTGGCATCAAGCAAGTTATTCCTGGAATTTTTCAATTCAACATTATCAAGACAGAATTCAAAAAGGTTGAGATAAGAAGGAAGGGAGAAAGGAAGGAGTTTTGCAAGTAAACAAAAATGAAGACTCAGAGAGAGCAGGTTGGCAGGATTTTACAACTGCAGCAGTTAAGAAGGTCTCAATTCATCCAAGACAGACAGACAAAAGAGTCTGGCAGTTTCTGTGTGGAGGAAAGTCAAAAGCTGTCCTGGCTAGTTCATTTTAAGGTGTCATCAGCATTTTTGAACATAAGAATGGCATTGTAGATTTTAAGTGCTGGGCCAAGCTTTACACTCATGATCTTCACAATGTCAGCCTGAGTCAGCAAAAGGAAGGCCTCACCATCAATCATCTGTGGAAGAGATGTCTGTTTAAGTAGAATGCATATACAGCAACAGATTAAACATCCAATGATTTAATCTCATTATAGTGTTAGCAGAAGATGCAAAATAAGATAATTCAGAAAGGTAGAGAAGTCCAAAAACTTTACTGCATTCAGATTTACTGTACAGATGGAACGGTAACAGTACGATTTCTTTAATGCATGCTTCAAAAGGGATTCAATAGGGAAAATTTTATGTTTATTCAAGATCACATCATAAAAAGTTAAAAATAACCAAACTCGATCTGAGAATATAGCAACATTTCATTAAGTGAATACTTCTATTGCCATGTTTGAAACACAGCAAAACTTTATTCTTGGGCACAGACTAACTTATGGAGTAAATAGGTGATTGCAGGTGGCTTATCTTTTAGGAAAAATTATTAATATAGATAATCCTCACTCACCAACCACTTGTTCAGCAACCGTTTAGAGTTGCAATGGTGGTGAATGAGTGATACCTACAGCTCAATGTTCTGGTCACTGCAGTACCCATGCAGTACCCATGCAGTCACATGATCACAATTCAGGTACTTGGCAATCAGTTTGTATTGGCAACCATGGTTGCAGCATCCTACATGCATGTTACTAATATTAGTCACATTCCCTGCTGGCTTTCCTCAAGCAAAGTCAATGGGGAAGTCAACAGGAAACAATGCAAGTCATCCTGCTGAGTGCCCTCCAGTCTTCTTACTCCATGTGCCAAGGAGTTTTTATTTTATGAGACTGTAGTGCACTTAGTGTAGTGCAAAGGCATCAGGCTAGAAACAGTTCCTCTGAAGTCATCTGGATTACCTTGGCCCAATTACTCTCTCTCAACCCTAGGAAGGTGGCTATGGCAAACTACTTCTGAAATCTTGTCAAGAAAACCTCANATTATAAAGAATCATTCCCACTGGAAATAGATTTGTTTGGACTCTGCAGGATAAAATAAAAATACACAATTTTAAAAATTGGACATAAAAGGGAAATAAAGATTTTAATTAAAGGAGAAAATAAACAAGCCTTATGAACCACAAATTAACTGGGATGTATAAAATGGTGCAAAACATTTCAACAGTAAAAATACTGAAGCATACTTTTGAAAATTGGAATCAGACGTTAATATCACTGAAGTCAATAGTGATGTTTGCTTTTATGGATAGGCTGTGTCCTGAAAATATTATGGAAGAAATGGTGGAACACGTTTTATTTGACAAGTCAGAGATGCTATTGAAAATGAATCTACAAACCACAGATCACAGTATTGGATTTTACTAATAATTAAAATTCTTAATAAAAAGCATATATATGCTGAGAGGGAGAGAGAGAGCACACTAATTTCAACTGAGTCAAATATAAGAATCTAAAATTGTTGAAGAAGCAAAGTTGGAGTACCTACATCTCTCAATGAAACCACTTTTAGTAGGACTATGATAGTAGTACCAACTCAATTAAAAAGGGCCTTAGTATTATCCAAGCATTTTTGAAATGGCATCCCTTTCCTCAGTTTCAGGTTTAAAGATGAATCCTTTGTCATTCCCAATAGGCCACCTATAGAGTCCTAAAGGTGTATCGTACTGTCAAATTCAGGAGAAATGCACTTAGAAATTTAACAAAAGTTACTAAGAACAGACTAATTGCTTTTTTCTTCTTTGAAGGATTTACTTCCTACAAATGGCTGCCTTATGTAATTGCACAGCAAATAAGACTTATGATTATGTCAAAAACAGGACTTTAAAGTCCACATCCTTTGTCAAGAATCATCTAGGTATTCTAGGAGGATTCCCCTCACCCCCAATGAATAAAAAGTATATCTCTTTGGATATAGAAAGAGTTTGGCACATTCACCGTTGGCATTTTTTAAGAAGGCTTTGATAAGAAATGCAAAACCTCTTTCTTTTTGGCCCCATACCTCTTAGGAACTACACATGATATTCATAGAGAACACACAAAAAAAATATTAGGAGACCACTTATTAGGAAAGAGGAAAACCAAGATACACATTTGTTTCAAAGAGCAAGTAGCTAATACTTAAAAGAAAAAAGCCAAAGATATCTTAAGTATTTCATAAGTTAAAATGCTGCATTTTCATAGGTATTTTCTGTGGAAATTAAGAAACAGATTTCGGAGACCGTGTTAATATGAAGCCTGTTGATTAAAGAAAGTCATCCTTGTCTTCATAAACTGAAGTGGGAAGAAAGGGAAAAAAGTGTTTTCTTAAGGAGCTCAATCACCTTGCAAGTTAGATCTAAGAAGACGTAAGAGATTTTACTTTGGCCACTAAAGCCTTAGTTCAGCTATCATAATTAATGAAATGATTCTATTATCCAGGATCACTTCATACAAGTGATGAAAAATTGAAAGGAACAAAATCCCCAAACACATCAAATTGACTGAAATTAGAAGAAATCCCACAGGAAAATTCCAAGACAGGGGTGCCAAACTCCCGGCCCACAGCCCGGATGTGTCACACGCTGGCCACCCCCATGCCTGGTTTAGCAATGGGGAAAAATGTCCTCATATATCATGTGACACCATTGTGATGCTGCGGGTTTGACACCTCTGTTCCAAGGTATTTGGTCATCTGACATAGCAAATCCATATGGCTTTCTAACCTTCTTCACAAAAGTAAATGCAACAACAATAAATTAATATCCTGTATTTTGATGAAATTTAAACTCTACTTTCTCAGGCCATCTTTTCCCTTGCCTAGGCAGACTGGCATTACAACTCCTGCCTATCTTCTTAAGTCCATGTGAGCACAGCATAAATGGCCCAAAAGAATGTCATATGTTAGTCATTATCAAGAGGATGTAGGGAAAACTATATGCAATTAGCAACAGAATTATTGATTAATTGAATGTTTGCAACACACCATATACTGTTAAGGTGAAACTATAAAAGATTTAAATAAGAATAGTTTCTAATCTATGTTGTGAAACAACAAAATATAAATATTTTGGCACACGTTGAACTGAATAGAGACTGATGGGACAAAATTGATGCAATCAAAGAATCTGAAAATCGCATTGCACAACATTTTTTCTTCAGTTTATGTATCTCACGACCAATATGACAGGATAACGCTAGCTAGCTCCGCCTAATAATTAGTTATTTTATGATTGAGAGGAATGTTTTTACTTAGTGCAAAGTGTTAATATTGTTACTTTGCTAATCTTGTTTTCTATAGCCCATAGTAAAATTTCTGATAATTTAAGAAACTGACTTTTGCCCAGAAAAATCTGATTTCAAAATTGCTTCCAAATACTGTACATGGCAGCAGTATATCCAAAGCAGTGGATATATTGCAAAATAATAAATAGTAATCCAGACATACTGTAGTGTAAGAATTTAAGCAGTCAGAGATGATAGGTGAAAGCCATAGCAGGTTAAATTCAGTAGCAAATCTGGTCTCAAACCCATGTTGTGTGCCATCATAACCAACAGGAGAACTTAGCAGGATTTCTGGCATCAAGCAAGTTATTCCTGGAATTTTTCAATTCAACATTATCAAGACAGAATTCAAAAAGGTTGAGATAAGAAGGAAGGGAGAAAGGAAGGAGTTTTGCAAGTAAACAAAAATGAAGACTCAGAGAGAGCAGGTTGGCAGGATTTTACAACTGCAGCAGTTAAGAAGGTCTCAATTCATCCAAGACAGACAGACAAAAGAGTCTGGCAGTTTCTGTGTGGAGGAAAGTCAAAAGCTGTCCTGGCTAGTTCATTTTAAGGTGTCATCAGCATTTTTGAACATAAGAATGGCATTGTAGATTTTAAGTGCTGGGCCAAGCTTTACACTCATGATCTTCACAATGTCAGCCTGAGTCAGCAAAAGGAAGGCCTCACCATCAATCATCTGTGGAAGAGATGTCTGTTTAAGTAGAATGCATATACAGCAACAGATTAAACATCCAATGATTTAATCTCATTATAGTGTTAGCAGAAGATGCAAAATAAGATAATTCAGAAAGGTAGAGAAGTCCAAAAACTTTACTGCATTCAGATTTACTGTACAGATGGAACGGTAACAGTACGATTTCTTTAATGCATGCTTCAAAAGGGATTCAATAGGGAAAATTTTATGTTTATTCAAGATCACATCATAAAAAGTTAAAAATAACCAAACTCGATCTGAGAATATAGCAACATTTCATTAAGTGAATACTTCTATTGCCATGTTTGAAACACAGCAAAACTTTATTCTTGGGCACAGACTAACTTATGGAGTAAATAGGTGATTGCAGGTGGCTTATCTTTTAGGAAAAATTATTAATATAGATAATCCTCACTCACCAACCACTTGTTCAGCAACCGTTTAGAGTTGCAATGGTGGTGAATGAGTGATACCTACAGCTCAATGTTCTGGTCACTGCAGTACCCATGCAGTACCCATGCAGTCACATGATCACAATTCAGGTACTTGGCAATCAGTTTGTATTGGCAACCATGGTTGCAGCATCCTACATGCATGTTACTAATATTAGTCACATTCCCTGCTGGCTTTCCTCAAGCAAAGTCAATGGGGAAGTCAACAGGAAACAATGCAAGTCATCCTGCTGAGTGCCCTCCAGTCTTCTTACTCCATGTGCCAAGGAGTTTTTATTTTATGAGACTGTAGTGCACTTAGTGTAGTGCAAAGGCATCAGGCTAGAAACAGTTCCTCTGAAGTCATCTGGATTACCTTGGCCCAATTACTCTCTCTCAACCCTAGGAAGGTGGCTATGGCAAACTACTTCTGAAATCTTGTCAAGAAAACCTCAGGAACTAGCCCAGGCAAGGAGTCAAAAAATATCTCTCTCTCTCTCTCTCTCTCTCTCTCTCTCTCTCTCTCTCTCTCTCTCTCTCACACACACACACACACACACACACACAAACGTCCACTACTCTACCTCATCTCTGAAGAGTTTTGCTTGATCCTCACAACCTGTTAACGTCTGTACAAAGCTGAAAACCTTTGGAGAAAAGATATAAAGGCAATAATTAAAGAACAGAGAAAAAGGGAATAGCAGTTTTTTTGTATACCAACAATTCCTAAACCTTTCTGTAATATGACCTATTTCACCATCAGAAGCACCTGCATCTGATCTATTAACCAAGAATTGGTAATACACTATCCCACCCCTAATAGCATCTGGAAGATACTGAACAATGTTGAATACAAAATTATTTAAATGTATTACATTAAAATAAGGTTAAGATTGCTTAAACAATATTTTGGACACTCTTACCTCATCAATTGTCCATTTGGCCACTGTGGATGCTGTGATCCCAGCTACTCCAGGCAGAAGCTTACAATGCTGATCCCAGCAGAGGGATAAGGAACGGTCAGGATGTGCTGACAAGGCTGACATAAACAGAGACTGGTGCATACTTTCCGATGAAATGGCTGATAACAAGATTTATCACATGTCAAATTAAATTGGGAAATACAAAAAAAAAACCTCAAAAAAGGCAGAAACAAACTTCTTCTATAGCACTCTCAAGAAAAATGTGTGGATGCAATAATTGGGAGCTGAATTCAGCTCATAGGTATATCGTCATTCTGGAGAAATTGGCTTCTTCTCCAAGCTCTATGACAACTTTCCCCTGTCCAATATTCCTGGCCCTCCTATATCTCTTGGTGATGTGTTATGTCTGACTTTTGATGGGATAATCCCCAAACAGAGTGGATGAACAATTTTAGGGTCCTTCTGGACATTCGCCTCCTGCTCAATAAGCTGATGGTAGACATGGGTGGGAAATATCTGTACAGATTTACCAACTGCACCAATTACTGAAATGGGAAACCTTGCTCACAGTCACCCATGCCTTACTCACTTTCTACTGGATTCCTTTAAGATGCTGTATATGACACTAATCTTGACGACTACCCAGAAAATCCATCTGATCCAGAATATAGTGACATACACACAGTGTTGAATACCATTCAGTTTGCCTATATTATACCAGAGTATACAAGATGTACTGGTTCCCAATGTCTTTCTAGATGCCAATCGAAGATGCTAATTATGACTTTTAAAGCCCTGCATGACACAGAATCTGGTTATTTGCATGATTACCCTTCCCTGCCTATTCCACCCATTTGGGTAGGCTGGATATGCTCCGGGACCCCTTCTTGAAATGTCTTAACCCGTCTGCAATTTCTAAGGCACTGGCTTAGAAGCTGCAAACTGTGAGTTCTAGTCTCACTTTAGGTGCAAGGCTATCTGTGTGACTTAGGTCCAATCATTCTCTTTCAGCCCTAAGAATGACACAATGGGAAACTATTTCTGACATCTTGCCAAGAAAACTTTAGGGACTAATCCAGTCAGTCACCAGTCACCACTGACTTGAAGGCACATAAAAAAATCAAAGTGTGGCCTAGAAAGAATATGCCTTTTCAATAGCAGCTTCTGTCCTATAGAATCCCCTTTCCTGTAGAATCTGTCAAGGACCACAAACTCTCCCTAACCAGCAGGTAAAGGGAAAGAAATGGGATCTCTCATCAAAGATTAAAATGGATTACCTTCTATAAACTCTTGAAACTAGTCAGTACTCCAGGTTGTCCAATTCTATTACAAAACTATTTTAGCAACATCAACACTTTTTACATAAACAGTATCTCTTCCACATTACATCCGAATAGGATTTCCATCTCTACAGATATATAACATTAATGCCGAAAAGCACAGGTCACATTTTAACAAAGATGTTGTTTAAAACATAATTTAGAATTCTATCAAGTTAGTCAGCTCCTTTTACCTTTTATATATGAAGACCCACACAAATAATTATTTTGCTGCTCTTGTAATATTAATATTTCGCTTATAGAAAAGACAAACTAACAAACACTTACTTTGGAAATCTTCCTGCTGGATTTTCCGATATTTAGGAGGTCGCCCTCTAGAGAAATAAAAAATGCTTTATATAAGTCATAGGGTATTGATTGGAAAATGGCCTATAGTAAATCCTACTAACTAAACCTTAAATCAGAGGTGTCAAATTCAAGGCCCGGTGACTGGATCTGGCCTGCGGGGTACTTAGATCTGGCTCGCCGGACTGCCCTCCTGTAACCTTTTGCCTGTGAAAACAGAACTCTGGAGCTTGTTTTCGCTGGCAGAGCGCTCAGGCGGCCACAGGTGCCCGATAGGAGTGACGTTGAGCTGGCCACACCCACCCTGGCCACGCCCCCCCACCTCTCCTAGGGCAATGTGATGTGGCCCTCAATGGAATTGAGTTTGACACCCCTGCCTTAAATCATATATTGGTGGGGTCAGAATCATGTGAAACAGACATCAGTGGAATAAACGCAGCTTAGAAAAGTGTTAGACAGGTAGTCTTCACTTATTGACTGGAATTGGGATAGACAAATCCATTGCTAAGTACTGTACAGTCTTTAAGTAAAATGTCATATGATTACATGGATTTATAATGTCAATTCCGGCTGCAGTTGTGAACCAAATCACTGAGGTAACTTACTGCTGGCTTCCCCATTGACTTTACTTGTTAGAAACTGGCAATTACATGACTATGAGATGTTGCAATCGTCATAATATGTGCTTGGTTGCCAAACACCCAAATTGAATCACATGACCGCAGTGCAATGGCTGCAACTTCAAGGTTGTTCTTCAGTGCCACTGTAACTTTGAACAGTCACTGAATGAGTGATCAGTAATCAAGAACTACTTATACTTGCAATTGTACTCCCAAGAACTAGTAAAGAAAAGATGCATATATTTCAAGAATATATGTCTTATTAAAAACATCTTTCTCAATGAATCCACAAGAGAAGAATGTTTTGTTTGTTTTAAAGGCCATAAATCAAATATCATGTCCAGAAATTTGCATGGAATATCTAGCCAATATTTTTTTATTTAATTGTATTTATTGCATTTATATCCTGTCAGTCAGGGATAGTGGAAGTATTAGCTGACTATGGTTAATCTTGAAAAAATAATGGATCTAGATAATAGTTGGGTGGGAGATAACAAAGGAATAAGCTAGACTGTGATGTCAATAAGAGGAAATACAAAGGTAAATTAATGTCATGTTACTGACAAGAAAATTAGTGCAACTACTATAAGTTGAGCTTGATTTGAGTGACTTTAATTTTTTTCTTTTGAAAGCTTAAGATGTACACACAGATGAGAGTTCTCATTTTCTCTTCAGAGCAACCTACAGTATGAGGTGGGTTGGATTGTTTCAGCCCTACTAGGTAGATCAAATCAAGAAACTAATTCCACAGGAAGACTAAAACCATTTTTATCGAGTAGCTACAATTACAGAAACTTGCAAATCTAATTACTTGGTACTTCCTCTTCCTTCAGTGAATAAAGAAAGAGTCTGTTTGTGGACAACCAAGAAAAAAACAAGCCCAAATGGATTATCAAACAAATCAACTCAGAGTTCTCACTTGAGGTACAAATGATCCAGTTCAAATTGATCAAAACTTTGGACACATTATACAAAAAACTAACTCTTTCTGCTGAGAAAGGCAGAAGGAAAGAGAAGAAGAGGATGACTAGCAGCAAGACAGATAGATTCAGTTGCAGTGGAAACGGGTGCACCATTGAAAAGCCTGAAATATTGGCTAGGGACAGACAGTCGTGGGAAAATCTATTTATGTGATTGCTAACAGTCAACAATGATTTGATGACCCATATTTAATCACATTGAAAACAAACCCTATGATCAAATGAGAACTTGAACCTAGATTTCCATGTAAATCAACCCCTTAACCACTATTATATTTCCATTGGCTATGCCAAATATGTGGTGGATAGGGTATATATTCTTTCATCAAATCCAGTGTGGTTCTTTCCAAACATGCCACAATAAGATTTCTCTTATTCGCATTCATACAGCTTTAAGAGAAAGTCCCATGCCTGTTAATCTTCATTTTAAAAATCTATTCCCCCAGAGCTCAAGGAATACATACAGGGATCATCTGCTGCTTTCTATCTAGCCTCTCCTGGAGTAAGATATGCTTAGCTTTAAGATGACAATGTACTATATCACTTCAAAATTATGCCCTGAGATGTTCCATTTTAATTTATAATGCTACAGTTGATTAGGACCCAACTCACAGATCTCTGCACTCAGAAGCAAGTTATTCTGCATAATATTAATAAGAACAGATTATAAAAATAGAGAAAAGATTAGTTTAGAAGATGATTCAGGATCCAAGGGAATAATATATAAAAATAGATATAATGCCTGGAGAAGCATAGGATTAGCAACAAATCATGCATAAACTATGAGGAACAGCCATAAAGCAAATATTTGAAAATGAACTGGTTGTAAATTACAATGGCACCCCTCAGTTTGATAATCCCAACAGATTAACACAGGCTGTTCCTTTACCTTCCATGATGGCGAGACTTCTTCTTCTGGGAATAAGCAATTAGGTTCCTCTTTCGAACAGAGTTTTCAGTGTCTGAAAGTTCAGCCTTTACCCTTCCCTGGTTTTTCTCTGCCAGGGGACACCCTGAGATGCAGTAATGAGCTGTAAATCTCCCAGTCACATGGCCTGAGCCATCACAACCAGGTGTTGGACACTTTCTGGAAAATGGAGATTAAAAAATCATTTGGTTTTGTGTGTTACCATGTGCTAAATAATAATAATAATAATAATAATAATAATAATAATAATAATAATAATAATAATAATAATAATAATAATAATAATAATAATATCTTGCTCAATATGTATCTTCCAAGCCAAATGAAATTTAGCAGCTGTGAACTGAACCTGCTCAATTTTAAGTTTCAACTGCTTTTTCATTGGTTGCAATAGAAAATTGCAACCAACAATAAAAACACAAATTGCCACAAAATACTAGTAGTTGAAATGATCTTGATGAGGATACAGGATTCACATAGTATGTTACATTGATTTATTCCAACACAAGTCACACAGACACTGGAATAGCAGTGGTTCCTCAACAACTCTTAGTGTGGCCTTAAGTCCATGCTGCCTATAGCAGCATAATCAGCAGGATATTGTAACTTATTATGAGTGCTCACCTGTGAAAGCTATATTTGGAACTCTTGGTAGCTGGGAGCGTCTTACAGGCCAAGGTTGGACAGCTTCCATTGGTAGAGGAGACGAGTTCCTTTGGCCCTGCTCAAAGAAATAATTTGAATCTCAGGCACTTTGATTTAAGACATAGGAAATTTCCATCTTTATGAAGTTGTAATTAATTTTCATACTTTAAACCAAACATGTATATACTATCAGTTTTTCTCCTCCCCTCCCCAACAAATATAGTTCAAAATCTGAATTCTAATTAGTAAAATTTGTCTCTCTATTTCTATGTAGCCTATTAAAAATATTTTACAGTTGAATTTCAGAAATACCCAACTACACCAACGTTCAAAATTGTTCAGTAGATATTTCTCAAAAGCAGGAAGTATTTATGTATTATGTATTTGGTTTAATGTTTGAAAGCCATTCTTACAATGTGGCTTATGTAAACAGATTAAAGTACACTAAATATTTAGTTAAAACAATGAGTTAAAACAGTTAAAACAGCAACCTAATTCAACATTGGTACATTGGTAATTTAGCATTAAAAAGCATCAGAATTATCTAAAGTAACATCCATCTAAAACCATCCTAAACCTTTGAAGAAAGGCTACTTGAAATAAATAGAAGTTTTTAGAAGTTTTTATAAAGCTTAAATTGAGTGGAATCTATACACAACTGTTGGAAGTGTTCCTACAAATTTTGTACAGTGATAATATAATAAACTGGAAAGTCATAGCCCTCTTTCTTTTGGAAACAAAGCAACTTTATAGATTCATAACTGCAAATATATACATGAAGGTCAAGTCTACCAGAGACACAGAAACCAAAGGAAGCCTTGAACAAGATTTTTAGGGGTCATGTTTTTATGTCTTTTTGGGGAACTAAAAGATCCCTCACATGTAAGCACTGTAGTTTTCAGGGCAAAATAATTAACACAATAGAAGGTGTTTGTGTTACTTTTTCATCATGTTATAATTATAAGCTAAAAGATGCCACCCTGTCTATTGTTTCATGGAGTCTGTGCTGTCTGTTTCTACTGTCCCTAGATAATCATGAGAACGTGGCAAGTATTTGTGCAACATGTAGTTACTGTTCTTACTAAGAGGAGGTTGCAATGGATGTCCAGTTTTTGAGCACCATCCTACAGGATGAATGTCTGGGTGATCTGAGTCAATCCAGAAATCATAGATATGGCTCCAGCCATCAAAATGAATCTATAGGCAAACATCAACAGAATGTAGTTAGATTTTAGAAATCATCCTTGGAGCATCCAATCAGCAGACACAAAGGTGCATTTTCTCTAATCAATACATAAAAGAAGTTTCACATGGCACAGAAGGAGATAGTTCTCCATATTTTCACTTCAAACTGAGCAATGATTTGAACAGCTTCATATCTGAAGGCACACAGTCAACAGGCTGGAAGCCCTTAGGTCATCCCAGCTGTGAGATATATATATATCTAAGATACCATACCTCACAAGTGGAAGTATGAACCTTTTAGGTGCACGCAACACTCTAAAAAAAGACAGATGAAAGCTACTGAATCTCCACATCTCACTTCAAATCCACCAATATGCAGGCAAAACTAGTATAGATGGAATTCTGTTCATTCTGGAGTCTGTTTGGTACATGGCAGTGTGGAATCAATGGGCAAGCTCAGGAAAAAAAATTGTAAACTTCTAAATAACTGCTCCTCCACGATTTACAGAGGCCACATTTCTATTGTCTGAGGATGGAAACTGAACCCATATCTTGTCTTTCCCACGTTACTGTACTTTCTATTCACCCATAAGTGAATGATGATGCACTTTTATAATTATGCCACTATATTTTACCTTTTGGCTTGTTCATTTGACCTCATCTCTTCCCTTGACAAATGCTTTTTGTTCTGATATCTAAATAAAAAGTACTGGGGGATAGTATTATGAACACTATTTGTGGGGAAACAGTGGATCCCACTGAGAATAGAAAACTTTACTGAGTATAAAATGAACAATTCTTAATCAGCGTGGACGGAAACATATCAGCTATCCATGACAGCATGCCTATGCGCTGTGCACAGGAATAGACATTACTACAGTTGCTTGGCTGTTGCCAAATCTTTCTGCATTATCTTCTGTACCTTCCATATTGGATTTACTATTAGATTTACTATTAAGTGCTGACAACATTATTACTTGATACTATTTTTTCCATTTTTGTAAGTACCTGAGAAGTAATAACCATTAGCACAGAAAAACTTTAGAATCGGTGTGTCTACATACATTGATCTCTGTTGCTATAATAAATTAAGTGGATGCTATAGTATGATATTTGGCAATATTGGCCCTGAAATAAGGGGGAAAGTGCCCTCAAAGTTGAAACAGCCACTTTTCGAAAGTGACTGGCCAATTACCCCAAGATGCTTTTTCCAAAAGGCAATTGGATTTTCTTGCGTTTTTTTTTTCCTTTGAAAATGTTTCACTTCTCATCCAAGAAGCTTCTTTAGTTCTTTTTTCAAAGACAAAAACTAAGAAAGTCTAGTTGCCTTTTGGAAAAAGCACCTTGAGACACACCATGACCTGAATGACTAAGAATCTCCATAGACACTGGCCAATTATGTCTCCTTACTGCCACCATTACTTCACTATAAAATGCCAAACCCAGACTGAATATCTGGCTGACTGTGCAATGAATGATGATGATGATGATGATGATGATGATGATGATGATGATGACAACAAAAACAACAACAACAAAATACCGGGACTTGCAAATTGAGGTTAAGCGTGGAAAAAGAAAACATGTGTTGTCCCAATTGTAATTGGAGCCCTTGGAATAATACCTAAAGGGCTACTTCGCTATTTGGAAATTCTAAATTTACCTGACTTAAACATTCTGAGACTACAAAAAACCACCCTACTCGGAACAACTTATATCCTACGACGCTACCTTAATAGTTCCTAGGTCCTTGGTTAGGACTCGAGCTGTTAGGCTACCAACCAGCCCCTAAGGCTGTGAATCTCACAAAAAATTAACCACATTAATAATAATAATAATAATAATAATAATAACAACAACAACAACAACAACAACAACAACTCAGTTGACTGAGTTTCATGTTTAATAAATAAAGTATAATATCCTAATGCAATTCTATCTAAACCAACTTTCAGCCTCGCCGGAAGTAAACACCTCATCCAGCATTCCAGCCAACTCTTTCACCCCAAAGCAACCCCAAATTCTTACTGCCAATTTCACAAACCTAACCAAATTCCCTTCTTTTGTTTTCTTGGCCTCTCAGGGCTCAGGGGACGTGCTCTGGGCACATCAGATTGGCTTTTGATTTAAAGAACCAGCCATTCCCCATTACAGGCTCTGCATGTTCCGCTCTGAAACAATCACAGTTATACATTAAGGAAAGCTATATTTTATACACAGATAACAATTATACTAAGCAAACAAAGCTGCTTATTGTTCTTGTTAAAAAGTTTATTCTGCTTTTGCTTGTTGTAAGAGCCAACAATGAAGTATACATTAAGTTCTCAGATTTCAGCCAGCATCAGAGGTTATAGGTTTTCTTTATAACCATAGGGCTATAAATACTTTCTATAATCTTAAGAATACAGAATTTAAATACAGTGTATGATTTATTTTATTGCATAATTGTAGAATACAAAAACAAAGCCCAGGCTTTCCCAAGCTATAGATGAAATGCATAATTAAGTGATAAGCAAGGGTTTGTACATCATGCAATCATCTGTAATATGGCTTGTTTAATTTTGACTTAAATCTGTTGTATTCTTTAGTCAGCAAATTGTGGCTTAGTACGGTGTATCAATTCAGTCAAACTGTTGCTTATACAAAACCCCAAAATCCATTAGAAGGTGTAACTTCATTTGACCGATTCAGGGTTACAAAATAACATTTATACTCTTGCTTTGTATTTTTTTTTAAAATCACAAATAAGACTTTGGGTGATTTTTTCCCAATACATTTCATTTAGCATAAGGAAGCACATAAATTACTGGGCAATACCATGAAAAAGAAAGGCATAAACACAAAGCAGAAAAAAACCCTACCTTTATCCTGTAGTCTTCTACATCCTCTACACTACCAACTCTGATTAGAGAGGGGGTCCTTCGATCCACTGCCTCCAATTTCATGTTCATCAGAAAGCCGTGGGGCTGCCTCTAGAGAGAGGCCAAACAAAAAGGTAAGGAAAACAAGGTAAGGAAGATGGTGCTTATGAGGTGAAATCACATCCTGCATAGCTAATTTTCCCCTGGTCTGATTCATCTTTTTATATGAGAGAGAAATAATGCATGGTTTTTTTCTTATACTAGCATTGAAAACTTTCACCATTCCTAGTTTCTAAAACTGCACATAACCAAAATAGCTTCCCATGCAAAGGGTGATCAGAGGAAGAATCACTGTTTTCTGAACATTGACTTAAGCATAAATAAGGTTTCTCTCCTCCCCTCTATACTTCTTGAAAATATTGAGGCCTGTATAGCAGAGATTTGGAAAACATACAAATTACTCACCACCTTAAAGGCCCAAGTTGGCGCTGCAGAAGCACCTGTTTCTGACAAATATTTTTCCCAACAGAAGTTCTCAGGGTCAGGATAGTCTGGAAATGAAAATATCTGGGAGATGAAAAGGTTTTGCTGGAGTGGATCTATTTAGAATAATTCAGTAGTAGCAATAGGCTCTCGGGAACTCAAATTGAACATCAGTGTTAGTTACTGCTAGATACAAATCAATGGTCAATTTAAAACAGGGATTCATTATGCCTTGTGTATAAAAAAAATCAATGTCTTACACCATAAATGTCTTCTCCAATACAGATGGCCTCGAAATGCAAGGACTTCAACTTCCATATGTCTCAAAAATGGTCACTGTGCAAACCTCTAGAGGTTTCTAGGTTGGGGAAGGCTAAACTACAAGTTCATGCCTGATTTATAAAACATACTTCTACAGGAAAGTTAAATGCTATTTGGGGTCTATATTCCAAAAAGTGGGCAAACCTAGGGCAAAGAAGTGGGAGAAACATCTTTTATGTTTTATGTAAGTTAAGTAAAATATTACATTTTCATGATGTCATTTTTATTTCAGCATTTAGTTTTGAAACTTCACTTCAGGAAATCATGCAATGACATCTATTTTAACAGAAATCCTTCCTATGATTTTATGGTACTTGTTTATTATTGTATCTAAAAGGGCTTATATTTTAAGAGTAAATAGGACCATGAATTCCTATCTGATCACAAAGCAGTATCTGTGATGGAAGGAATATTCAACTAGATGGCACATATTTCCTGTATTGAAAATGCCCTGCATGCATTCCTGTTTCTTTTTTCTTTGGCAGTAGACAACACTTAGGCATTATTCACCTTGTGGAGGAGTGAGAGGTTTTCCATGTTCCTGACACCAACCAACAGGATGAATGTAGGGGCTACTGGGATCACACCTGCAATAAAAATATGTGGTTATATAGTCTCTCTAAAGGTTGCCGGAAGGAGTGGGGGAATCAAGCATTGCTTTAATTATGTGCAAGTTTATTATATGTTTAAAAATAATAAGCAAAGGTAGGATTATTATTTTTATAAAGTCACATAGGGTAAGATTTAATTTCCAACACAATCCTGGCAAAATGCCCATTCTTGCCCTCCACGTAACAAGTAACAATAGGAAAAAGTCTTCTTTGGGGCCCATGATAACTTCCCCCACTGCTTGATTGGTAGAAAGAATTATCAAGATGTCAGCATTCTTCATGTAAAATATCCTACTCAGAGTGAAAATTCAGTGAAACAAGGATTATGACACACTGGGTGATGTATAATCGCTGCTTCAACAATTCCTGAGATTTTTTTTTTACTAGATAAATTTTTATCTTCTTCATGAAGAAGCTTTAAAATCAGCTTTCATGCCATCATCCCATGACTTTCAATGGTTGGCCACAGTAGGTAGAGTAATATTATTGCCGTTCATCTCTCACCTACCAGTAGTCATATGTGTCATCCCAGTTGTCAAAGTGCACCAAAAAGCGATTGTCTACCACATCTGTCACTGTGGCCACGCAAATCAAAGAAGGATTCATACGGTCCACTGCTTCAAGCTTCATCCCTATTTGGAATCCTATGGGAACATCATTCTGAGGAATGAGAAGACAGAACCTCAGGCATTTGTCACTCATGTTGCAGCTTCTGCAATCCTTTAATGTAGGTGTGACAGTATATGTAGAGTGCAATTATGCTAAACTATGCCAAACTATTGATCGTATTTTTCGGGCTATAAGACGCATTGGAATATAAGACGCAGCAAGGTTTTGAAGGGGAAAATTTTTTAAAAAAGGTTTTGCACTCTGCAAACCTCCCAAAAATGGCCAGTTTTTCGCAAAACTGAATAGCCCTTAGGAGGCTTGTAGAGTTCTCCGGGGGGGGGGGGGAATGAGCAAAAAACCAGCCCATTTTTTGTGAAAACAGACCCGTTTTTTGTCAAAAAAAAGTGGGGGGGGGCTTGGATAGCCTTTAGGAAGCTTATAGAGTGCTCCCTGGGAGGGGGGGGGGGCAAAAAGCAAGCTATTTCATTTCTGCCCTCCCAAGCCCCCAGCTCACTGAAAGTCTTCTAAAAGCTATGCACGGCCATTTTGGTGAAGGGGCGGAGTGTTGGGAGGCAAAAAAATGCTGTATTCAGTGTATAAGACGCAGCCAGATTTTCAGCCTCTTTTTTGAGGAAAAGGGTGCGTCTTATACTCCGAAAAATATATTATATGACTCTGCATTAACAGAAGTAGATAAAAGCTACAGTGAAATGGATGGCATATAAATTTAATAAACAAACAAACTACCTGGACATATGAACAACTCCATGTAGTTAGCAGTTAGACTTATATACCGCTTCATAGGGTTTTCAGCCCTCTTGAAGAGGTTTACAGAGTCAGCATATTGCCCCCACAGTCTGGGTCCTCATTTTACCCACCTCGGAAGGATGGAAGGCTGAGTCAACCTTGAGCCGATGACATTTGAACCGCCGAACTGCAGATAGCAGTCAGCTGAAGTGGCCTGCAGTACTGCACTCTAACCACTGCGCCACCTCGCTAGTCCTAACCAGCACAGTTACCAATGAAGAATAGTAGAAATTGTAATTCAATATCTAAGCCAGGGCTGTCAAACACAAGCACTGGCCATGCCCAGTTTAGCGAAGGGGGGGAAAGTCCCAATACGTCACGTGACAAAGCCATGACACCGTGAGTTTGAAACCTCCGATCTAAGGGATAATAGAGGCTTAACCCTAGTTTATGCTACCTAGGATACAAAGGAATTTTATGAGGTAATTCTATGATAAGTCAACAACACACTGTGGCCAGAACTGTTAAGGAATTCCTCGTGATGCAGAAAAGAAGGGACTTAATAATGTTTCCAAAAGAAGCAAATTAGAAATTTAATGGGTATTTTAATATTTCAATGAACATTCAAATGATTAAAGGTTAATCTAAATGGAATTAACTGTTACTCTTTAGAATAATTTGTTCTCAGCAGCAGATTCATCAATGTTAAAGAAGTCACTGTTAATCACAAAGGTATAAGTTAAATTAAGCTACTACAAATTCTGTGCTGCAAAAATCTGCATAATTAGATGGCAGAATAGGGATGCAGAAAACTGACTCTCTGCTGTCATCTAGTGGTTCTCTCAATTTTTGCATGCAAGATATGTCAGTTTTAAGAGGTAGCGTTAGTTTTGATCCAAAAATTATGCAGTTATAATCCTTACTATAATCCAATGAAATTATTTAATTGGCTGATAACTTTAATTACAATTGCAGGTGTGTCCAAATTATTTATTTTTTGAATCCTGATTCAAAAGATCAAGTTGTCAGGCCTGCAGTCATATTCCTTTTAGGATCTTTGGCCTGCCACACACTCTATTATTTTACTATGCTGTTTCAATAGTGGGGTCATTGGGAGGGGGAATAGTAAGGAGTAGAATTGTAGAATGTGTTGTCAAAATAATACATT